ATGGATCAGATGCATACTGTGGGAGAAATGCAAGTGTTCCTTGTATGTCGACAAATCATGAATAGCATTAGAACTTCCAGAAAATTTTGTACTTCTGTGCTCTTTCACATCTGTTTTCCTAATATATACTACCCACACTTATAAGTACTGTTGTTTCAATGATCTCATTAGCCCATATACAGCCTGTCTTGCATCATTTGTTACTTTACCATTGATTGTCATTTCACTTATTATTGTATCAGACTCCTCAGAAGTCCGACAAATCTATAATTTTAATTAATTTTTGTACTGTATTGAACAATGGACCTTTAATTAGGCTCTATCCAGACACAGCCAGCTTCAGATACTGATGTCTCTAATCTCACTCATTCTAGTGCACATGTTCACAAAGTCAGACTCATAATAATCACAATGATCTTTATACTTCCATGTCCCTCATGCTAACACTAAGGGCCCTAGGAATATAAAAACCTGCTTAAAATGTTTTATATTTTTATGTCCGGGGCACTGTGCTACAACCCGGAAGGTTGAGGGTTCAAGTCCTGATGAGGTGATTGGATATTTTTCAATTGACCTAACACTTCCAGCCACACTATGGCCCTGGGGTCGACTCATCCTCTAACAGAAATGAGTACCAGGAATTAATTAAATAATTTTCCAGGGGACTAAAAGGTGGCCAGTGCATAAGGCTGACAACTTTACCGCCATCTTTGAGCTGATTGTCTAGATAATGTGGGACCCTCAATGTCTCACAACCCTATGGGCCTTCACGGCCTGTTACAGGGATAGCTTTACTTTACTTTACTTTACTTATATTTTTGGTACAATAGGCCAGAAGTGGCCACAGTACAAGGGACTTAGTCCCACCCCACTGGCAATAAAAAAAATAATACAGTACTTATATTTTTGTGTCTAACCTCAGTCTATATACAAGGTACCAGCTCCATCACAAATGCAGGCAAGATAACTTCTTTCTTGGCATATCCAGGTGTAGTATCATGCCCCTCTAACTGATGTGTTTACTCTCCTCATTATTAATCCAACTGATGATACCATCACTGTGAAGGATGCTGAGACAATGGCCCTGGTCTCTATCTCAGCCTTGTTGGTACTGAACCTCCCATTACAGTCAGTTGAGGTCACCGTCTGGTCCAGATGTTATGTCAACATGCAGTCAGTGAGAAGGAAATAAATACATTAGTCTTGGCCAAGACATGGACTGGGAATTAAGCTGTTTCTTCGTGTGCCTGTAATAAACAAGAGCAAGGTTCATGATGAAACAAAAGGAATTAGAAGTACATCTTTGTAGGCAGCATTTTAGGCAATTATGGGTTTCTGATTTTGAGGTGGCATAAACGTATGCAATTCTTCTCTCTTCACCTGAAGAACTAAGTGTTGAAAGGCTTGTAACAAAAAGCACAGTGAATAAGTACTGTATTGGAGAGACAGAAGTTTGGCAGAAACATCCATTGCTATGTGACAGCTTGTTAAAACATTTCTGCAGCAATGAATGCATGCATAACAGTGTCCCCAACAGATCCTTCAATTTATCCTACCAAAATACCCTTTGTATTCCTCTCCTGTGACTGACATGCCCTTGGTTCTTTACTGTTGTTATCTTCAAGTAATTAAATTTCAATCGAGAATTGTGTGAGAAATTGTTTTCTGACACACATGGGTCTTGTTTATGTGTAGGTAAGAATGAAGAGGCATTACTTTATAATTGACTTGCAAAGTTCAGGTTATTGACCTCAGTGTGAAACTCTGAGAAGCAGAATCAGTATCAGGATTGAATGTGGGTAGGACTATGTATGTAATTTCTTTACCTATTTCATTTTCATTACATTGTTATTCACTCTTGTTATAGGTGTATTCATTCTCGTACTTTTGCCATATAATGCTACCTGTACTGAACTGGTGAACATGAACATAAGATTTTCAATAGTAATTGCATTTTTTAAGATATATTATTAATTTTTGCTATATAATCATATCCAGTACTGAACTAGGAGATGAATAGATACCAGATTTTCATTTCATTAATTGCATTTTTTAAGATGTATTATTAATTTTTGCTATATAATCGTATCCATTACAGAACTGGAATATGAACAGATTCCAAATTTTCAGTATTCATTATATTTCTTTAAGGTATGTTATTATTCTGCCCAGTACTGAACTAGTGAAGATGAATATATCAGATTTATAATTAAATGCAATCTTAATCTTGTTGACAAGGGTGTATTTCACATTCTCAAATTCCATCATTCTAATGAAAATAATAATAAATGGGTACATGAGTATTGTTGCTTACAATACGTGATTTATAATGCTTAAATGTAATGGAAAAACTGTGTACTGCATGGCTTTCAAGTGTAAGTTATGAGGAAATTATGGCGTTTAATATATGTATCTCTGATGGAAACAAAATTTTCTTTCAAGTTTCCCCACCTTCAGCTTTCCTGAATACAAGTATTCCATGTATGTCACAGTTCACAATGTTCAGTGCCTTTGGTTAAAGAGATGTTTCATGTGAAAGAAAGGTTATGACTTTCCAGACACTAGTGAGAAACTTTCTCCAGATAAATAATTTGCAACCTAATCTCTTGTACTCCAGAGCTGCAGAGGCTCTTATACTGTTATTTTTTTTTTTTGGAAAGGGTGAGGGACCGAGTTTAGTAGCACTTCACTCAAATCCAACCCAAAGAATATGGGTGAATTGATGTTGAACTTACTTATGGAGCTGAGCCCTTCTTGAGAACCCGCCAATTGTGCAGCCACTCAAGAATTTTCCAGCCTTTTATGGAACCCGAAGGTTCATTACTTGTTCACAAGAGCCCTCCACTGGTCCCTATCCTAAGCCAGATCAATCCAATCCATACCATACCATCCTATCTCTCTAGGATACATTTTAATATTGTCCACCCACCTACACCTTGGTCTTCCCAGTAGTCTCTTTCCTTCTGGCTTTCCCACCAATATCCTATATGCATTCCCCATTCGTTCTACATGCCCTGCCAACCTCATCCTCCTTGACTAGTGATATTGAACACAGTTCAAAAATAGAAATAGGTTGGGGGGGACCTCTCAGTCACTACATGATTTGACGTTGCAAAGTAAGCCACAAATGAACATTCAACCACTGCTTCATATCCTCTTTTCGACCCCAAGCACGTCTGCATCCATTCGAAATTCATGGAAAATTATGGCATCAGATTTATCACTAGCAAAAGTTTTGGTCATGTGTCATTCCCGAATTCTTTAAGCACAACATGTTTGCGTTCCCACGCCACACAAGCGAACGTTTTAAAACTTAATGGTGCTGTGCGCCGAGTTTCCCTGTGATTTCATTCACTGGACTGCATCAATGCTTAAGCAAAACACCGGCTGGGAGGTTCTCTTAGTAAATGACACGGTTATAAAGTCTGTAAGTAGATTCAATTCTTTCTAAATTATCAGTTAACATTTCTAGTAAACATCCCCTCCTTTTCTTTGGATTTAAAGTAACGCATACTGGGCTGGTATGTCTAAATATTTCTCCTTCCGTCGCCACTCTTCAATTCGAAGACCGCTGCTAAGAATTCATAAACGGCCTATCGTACGAAGGCACAGCAATACATTCTCTTTAAGAAACATACAGTCAGTTCGTTCTGGCATAATTATATTTTAAGATGTCTGTGTTAATTCATCAGATAAGAAGTACAGCAGACTGAATGGCAGTACCTATAAGCAGTGCTCGTCTGGAAACAGATAAACGATACTACCATGCCCCTTCACCCTTTCATTAGAAAATGTCACAGATGTATTTCGTGGAAGTTTTCTCTATACCAACATGCATTTAAGCATAATGCCAATACGTCTCCATAGATATTATTAACATCATCGTCTGTCTTCATGATGTAAATCGTGTATGCTAATTGGTTATTTGATTTTATCATCATTGTAATACACGGCAAAGAGTAGTTGTTAAAATTATGAAGGCTATCTTAACATAATTTTCCCTGTCCTCCTGATACGTCCACCCCTACGTCCTTTTTTTTTTTGTGCAAATATTTACCTTTATCTTGAAATCCATGAGAACCAAGTTTCACATTTATATAAAACAAAAGGTAAAACTCGGGCTTGTTTTTATCGTTTATTTACATTCCTAGAGAGAAAACTGGAAGATAAAAATATTTTGAAGTAAGGGTAGAAATGAATTTTCGGCTCCATAAAGGACGGGGAATTAACCAGCTGAGCAAGTACAGAGTTGTATGAATTAGAGGTCTACTTAATGGAAATTAATTGTATCTTCAATTTCATGAACAATTTCAGTAACATACTGTGTTCTTTTGTACCTCCTGGTTCCCAGAGTGTATGTAATTTACACAATATTTTGTCTGTCGATGCTAATTGCAGTAGTAGATCACTGTTAGAGGGAAGGGCTCGGCGTTGACAGCTGGAAGTCGTTTTGTTATATTGTTAATGCTATCCAAAAGTTAAACTGTCGTTCTTTTCCCATAATTGTAAAATACTGTGCAAGAATTTGAACAGATGTGTGGTGAGGGTTTCGTGAATTGAAACTTTGGGAGCCAGTATGGTAAGCATGAAACGTGTTAGATCGACTCCCTCAAGCCAGAAGCAGGAAATAATTTATGAGCCAGAACGTAAGAAGGAAGAGCTTTCTGGCGCTGCGTTAATTATATGTCTGCACGTTGTCCAATATATAAATTGAAGAGTAGAAATACAGCACCGTCTGCAACCTAGAAGTGATATATTATTACACAGAAATCCTCATACCCTGTCTGCCACTGCAGAAGTTAGTAGCGGACACCACACCATGACTGTGCATACATATCCACGTGCTCGCTTCACTGCCGAAACTATAGTAAGAAAAAATTGAGTTCACACCTAAAAGTTCGCATGGCAGGGAATATTACAAAAGTTTTAAGTTAAGGAGGCCTCTAATCGAATGATGCTCACACAGAGCTTCGTGAAGTTACTCGTATTGTTCAGCCTATGGTCCATATATCATATTTGTTTTCTTTAAAAAGTGACCTTCGTCATGTATTTAACATAACTAAATAGTATATTAGTCAATTGTTTTACTGATCTTGAGTTCAGAATATTTCACTTCACTGATTGATGATTTGTTTAATCCATTTGCACATTCGACAATGAAGAAGCAGATATTAAAATCTGTGGGGCAGACTTACAGACTTTTGAGTTGTAACGTGATGAAAAACAAGCAGTCCCAGAAATAGCATTGAGGGATAACAGTGAGAACTGTCCCACAGTCTAACGAGGTCATTCAGCAATTACAAATTCCCTCAAATACACGTATAACCGTAATTCAGACAGCATGTTGCACACTCTTCAGTTTGCATTGGGCATCACTCTCCTGGCCTCGCCCGCCATGTCGTACCACACCATAGAGACCTTCATCGGCGACTTCTTACAGTTCCAGAAGCAAGCAGCGCCGCCTGCCGCTGTCGGTGCGTTTCTGTGCTGGAGACAAGGTATGCCCCATTGCTTAAGCACGTCATTCATTAAACACAAAATTTACCAAAGTTACATATCACACTTCATACCGATTGTCTCTCAAACTACAAGACATTATTAAATCCTCTTAATGCCAATAAAGTGTATTCCCGTAAGGCCCGTTTTAATATATCCTTCCATTTCTGTCTTCAGGTGGAACGAAATGCCACAATTTTGTACGTTTGTTGCGTATCTTACACTGAGCAGACTGTATTAGTGTCATAGTCCACTAGACACTTCTGGCTGCTGTGGGTTTCAGGGTACAGCCGGCAGCTTATGATGAACTTCTCAAGTCGGTTCGTATTACTCTCAATGCTTCCTACAAACCGACACACACTGGCCCGGCTCCAGGCCACAGAGATCGATGGCTATGTAACATTCGTCTTGGATATGGGTTGCCAGGATGCGCCGGCTTTACTTCAAGAGGTATGAAGACACATCCCCATACATGCACTGTCACATTTGCGCATTTAGAGTGACAACTGAGAGAGAAAGGTAATGCCGTGCCATAGCTCAGGCGGTTAGTCGCTGGCTTCCCACCGCGGCGCTCCGGATTTCGAGGTTATACGTGTAGAACTAATTGGCCTTCCATTTCCTCTAGGCCTTCGAGAAATCTCAGGTGGGGCATGCTCGATATCTGGAAAAAGGGTCCATTCGCTGTCTTATGATGGAAACCATGAATGATGTTTTGACCCTTTTTTAGAACAATGCTTGATTTGATAACCGTGCTGTTCATTTGCCATTTCCACACTCTAGGGTTACCTCATATGGCTTAGAAATATTTCGAGATTACTCCCTCGGCCTAAGAACAGCCCATATTTCCATTACAATCATAATGACAATCATTTGTTCAGGTCTTTCTATACGTAGACATAATCAATATGTATCAGTATACTAACAAACAAAGTGCCTCATCACTTTTCATTCATATTAATTCCAAGTCACTAATCTCTCTCCAGGCCAGTAAACTGCAGATGCTTCGCAAACAGTACCGGTGGCTTCTCCTAGGTTCTCATTATCCAACCTTCAGTCACGGAGAGAATTTTACATCTCCACAGCCACCGATATCCATGACAGGATCCAGAAATAGGAGTGAAAATATAGGTCTAGCGTCCGCTGTACCAGCAGACGGTAACAATGCCACACAGACAGGTAAGTGACATGGTACTGCGCCAAGAAGGCGCATGACGTCGTACAGACGAAGATCCATGCATTCCAGAACTTATCCCTGGATGAAGGTCAACGGTTAGTTTTACATTTTGGCCGCTGTGCGCGGAGCAATTAATCATGGCGGTCACCGAGCAGTTCGAGGCGTAGAGGTGACAAGAATATAATTGTTGATTTTGAGTGAGGTGTGTCATTTTAATTGTACTCTATTTCTTGAACTTTGTGTATTTTCAACAATTACACTTCCTCTCACTGATAAATGTAGTCTACGAATTCAAACTTTCCCTCCCCCCGTTATATTTCGAAACAAGGTCGTATATACCCACCTTACGCAGTTCCACCCTGAAGATGGAGGCAGCGTGTACCTCCAAAACGTTGGCAACGTCGGCCACATCCACACGGCATAGAACTAACGGCCCATCAGTAACGGTAGTTATGACAAAATTCTTTATTTGGATCCTTCGCAACACAACAACAAAACGGTCTAGGTCAATATCATTTTAGCTACATGTTTCGGCTTTTAAAGCCATCGTCATGCAAATACGTGTTACCACACTGATACGCTATTGAACTGCATTTCAATATGATGGTACAATGGAGCTGGATACTTGGCAACTGTTACACTACAATAATACAAGGTATAAAAATGCGATAAAATTATAACATTATTATAAAACGAAAGTTATACAATAAAACATGGTTAAAAACTATTCATGTAATGCTTCATACCATGAAGTCAGTTGTTGCGATCTTGTTGTTATATTCCAGCGGACATACAGCGGCATATTCATGACTTGTACACGTATAGTTAACTGCTTGGAGGTCCCTGGTATTAGTGTAGTATTATTTGGTATTTATTGTTTAACCGGTGCCTCATTTTATAGTGTACGTATTTGTCCGCTCTGGTTGGAATACAGATTGTACAGATGACGCTGCCTGTGCTTCTGTAGTACTGTGTTCGCTTCCTTAAAATAAGAAACGGAACTGCGAGACAGAACTTTGAATAGCAACAGCAAAGCCTACGTGTTACTGGGTCGGTTTAGCTGCCTGTACTTATGTCTTTCATTATGGATATCAAACCATCGTAAATTTCATTGGCAGATGTAACGGATGTCATTCTCGGGCGTTTGAATATTCTGCTAGACAGCGACATCACAATCGGGAGGCGCGTCTCAGAGAGCACCTTCCTGTTGCTGGAGGTGTACAGACGTGGGCCATCGGAAGCTCTCGTGAAGAAGGAAATTGGCGCCTGGTGCAAGGGGCGCGGTGTGCGACTGACAGCGTCCCCAGTCATATCTGTACGAAGAATTAATCTGCACAAGACACTGCTCAAGGCTGTCATGGTGGTAAGTGACCACACTATAACTGCGGCCTGCTCGGTGACAAAAAGAAACCCACCAAACAACAATATCAAAGGAAAACAAAGAGATGGAAGTATAATATTAAAATGTAAGCGTACGAAGTGGGTTTAACTGACTACGGATTGTTTTGGCATTAAATGTGTATCGCCCTGCAGTCAGTTTACTTAGCAAGCTAGGTCCAGTGTTTTGAACAATATCATTGATGTCAGGCTGAACTGCATTACCATATACCCCCAGGTGACTCACAATGGCACTATGGACCACCTAGATGACAACGTGGATAAGCACATCGACACCTACACCAAGACAAACTACGCCCAATTCAGATACATAACTGAAATCCTAAATGTCAGGTAACGTTCAGAGTAATTCATACAGTTTCGTAGTTTTTATGTAGGTAATTATATAACGAAGATTGACTAGTATGAGGACGTAAGAAATGTATGTAAAATATTTACTGAAAGATCTTGGTAGAAATGGAAGGAGGGAAGCAGTTGAGGCCCATTAAAAGTACCCTCACAAAATCTTCCTGTGGCCACCTAGAGAAAGCCAAGAAAAAGTTGACAGAATTCGTACCACGGCCGGGATCTGTAAGCACACGTGACGATAACCATTACACCGCGTCGCTTTGCGGGAAGATAATATTACACCAGATCTTACCAAACTGTCTTGTGAAACAGTTTCATTACCCAGCATACGGTTCACTCTTTGCCTGTTCATCAGTTCTCGGAAAGGTGAAGTTTTCCCTGTGCTTAAACAGCATCACGCCATGAAGTCGGACGGGGAAATAGATGAAGCATGTTTCATATCTGAATCTAATATAATATTTCGAGATTACATCATATTTAATTATGGTTCAAATCAATCAGCCACAAGGCTTATTTTACGTGAAACTGAAAATTACCCTTATAGAGTTTCTCAGGAACGTCTAACTGTTCGGAAATATATGCATGTACAGTTAGCCATGATGTAAAGCACAATATACCACTGTAGGTCGCGGTGCAAGGGCCGAGAAGGCCTACCCCTTATATATTCATAGCTATGATGTACAAATTGCATCCTATGTAAGAAAATACAGCCTATCACAGCGGCCGCGCGGTCTATGGCTTGAACCGTCTTCGCCCACTCGAACACTGTGATCGTGGGTTCGAATCACACTCGAGGCTTCAATGTCTGTTAACGTTTATTCTGTGTTTGTGTTGGTCTGTGTGTAGGTAGCGGCCTTGCGACGAGCTGATCCCCCATCCAGTGAGTCTTATCGACTATGTATACATTAAGAAACTGAAAAAGCGGCCAACGTTCAAAGAGCTTTAGAGCCACAGAGAAAGAGAGTAAGAAAATACAAGCGCGAATACATTTTTTAGTTTACGTAGTGCCAAACAACACATTTGTATCAGCGGGGTGAAGATAGCCTCCTTTACTTTTCGTTCATTGTCTCTCCCTGCCGTTGAAGGACGTAGTTAGGGCTATATATTTATGGTAATTTATTTTTTCACTCTCAGTAATTTATACTGAAAAGTTAAAAACAACAAATATAACATATTTCAGAGACATGATATTCGATATTCAAATTGGTGGAATTGTGTGTGTACTGAGTGTTATATGTATGTTTTGTATCCTGTTGTGTACTCAGTGCGATGTCTATCATCTGTATAGCACAACACAACTATAAATAAACAATTTAAGACACGAGTGTTATCGACAAAACCAATATTTATTCACTATGCATACTCGCTACATGTTTCGGCCATATATGGTCATCACCAGGCGTTTAAAAATATTATAGCCTGTATAGCCGTTGCCATGCAACGATCGTGAGGTGGGCGGTTATATCAGATCCATTTCTGGGCAACGGCTGCTTAAACACGTTCCCGCGGCAACGGTTCGAATGCAACGGGGGAACGGGGTTCACTGAAGCAACCAGTTCATTTGGCAGGAGTTCTGCACAGGAGGCTGTGATGATCGAATCTTAGCGCGTAAAGCTGAAGAATCTTCACTGTTGAAAGTCGTTGCCAGGGAACGGCTGATGAAGACGGGGCAAGCTGGAAAGGGGTTTAGCGAGTGATTTTTGAAGTGTGGAGATTAGTGATAGCGCTGTTATTATTTGCACTTACGAGTGGTGTGTATAAGTGGTCAATAGATCTATTCACCAAGCCATACCCCGTCTATAATCACATTCTTAAATCGTGGCAATATTAAAATGATGTCAACATACATCATTGGACTGCTTATTACAATGGACCCGTTGTTACTAGTCCCGCCTTATACAACCCATTCCTCAAGATATAATACAGAAAATTATATAAACTGAATAATTTAGTGTAAATAAGTCTATGTCCATTCCCAACACACGACTTGCAGGAACATTGGAAACCACGTGACCAACAAACTACCAGGAACAGTAACATCAGCTCGAAAATAACTCACAGTATAACGCTCCCATAGGAGTCGGTATAGTTTAGCGACTGGCTACAGGCTGAACGACCGAGGGGTCGGAGTTCGAGTCCCGGCAGGGACAAAAATTTTCTCTTCTCCAGGTTGTCCAGACCGGCTCTGGGGTTCACCCAATCTCCTATCCAATGGCACTTTCCCCGGGGGTAAAGCGTCAGGGGCGTGAAGCTGTCCACTCACCTCCAACTAGTGCCGAGGTTAATAAAATGTGGTTCTATACATCCACTCCGCATATGCTTTCATGGCGTAGTGCTTAATTAGTTAAGCACAGGGTTTACTTTGCCTTTTTTTAACACTCCCATACAGAACAACAGAATAATCAACGAGTTTTGAACGCATAGCCGTAAACAGCAAATTCAGTCCATGAAACCCGCAGACTAGCACTTCAACATAAGATAACAAAATAGCCAACGGACGATAAACAAACACCAAATCACACATCACCACGAAGCCAACCGTACGGAACACATCTGGAATTCGCAGTACCACGCACCCCACAATATACACATATACACATACGTGACACCCAAGCCTCACAAAGCACATATCATATACGCTGTAATAATTCAACGCGTACCAGCCCATTCTCCTTACCCCCTTCCACTAAAAATTCAATACAAAGCAAACTAAAGATGGAGTTTTGACTTTTATTTTCAGTTCGCAATACATAGACTTACCTACATTAATTATTCAATTCACTATAATTTATGTAAGATTTGAGGTCTTCACGGCATTCTTCACTATAATTCACTATATCATATCTTGAGAAGTGTGGTTATATAAGACGGGACTAGAAACGGCGGATCAATTGTAATAAGCAGTCCAATGACGTATATTGACAGCATATTTAATATTTTTAAACGCCTGTTGATGACCATATATGGTCGAAACACGTAGGGAGTATGCTTAACGAATAAATAACGATTTCGTCGATAATGCTCGTGTCTTCAGTTGTTTGCTTATAGTTGTGTTGTGATGGACTGATGTACATAGCATACGTAGCAAACAGCTATCATGACAAGTGGCGTACACAAATTCGCAACAAAATGAAAAGACATGTGGACCGCAGTACTCCGCTGCACTCTTCCGGGGCACAAAAACATTCTTAAGTTTATTTGCAGCGTGGACATGACAATAACGGACACATGGGGTTACTCCATCAACGGGTCCTGGACGGGCCTCACAGGTTTCCTGCAGCGCGGAGAAGCAGATATTGGGTCAACAGGAATGTTCATACTTAAACAGCGTCTGTCTGTTGTGAACTTCATTGCCGCAACTACTCGGACCAGGTGTTGTATGGGAGCTTTCGGAATTCTGATTTTATTACGTGTACTTTGCACATAAAGTAATTGCTGAAGGGCAGAACTAAAATAACTTTTATTTTTCTGTAGACTTCTTTCTGTGGGTAGCGATATTGGTAGACAAGGTGGAATGTAAATAGTAACAAGGTACCAACTTTTTTTTAGTTTCTTGGGCTTCTTCCACTTAGTACGTCGGCTACTAATTGGCCTATTGTACCAGCCCCGGATGGTAGATGCTCGTAATGATGAATGTGGTGCAGTCAAGTGGAATGAGAATTGACAGGGGAAACCGAAGTACTCGGAGAAAACCCTCTACCAATGCCACTTTGTCCACCACAAATCCCACATGACCTGACCTGGGCTCGAACCCAGGCCGCCGCAGCGGGAAGCCGGTAACTAACCTCCTGAGCTATGGCACAGCCTATAAGGCAACAACTTACATAGAACACCATGGCATAGTGAAGTGGCTCGAGATCAGCCGTCGCCAGAGCCAGCGACATCTCACCCTGTGACAAAGTTTCTATTCCACTGAATGCCACCTCTCACCTGAGCCTCAAGAAATTGTGACTGTAGTCAGTGACGTCACTTCATAATCAATATGTGTGGAAACACGAAGCTTTTTACAAGGATCGAAACACTAAAACGATGTTTTCTCTCGCCAGGAGCGCCTTTCTGTTCCGCCCTCCGCCCCTATCGTTCGTCACGAACATCTTCACCCTGCCCTTCAGCCGCGCCGTGTGGCTGGTCAGTGCAGCCCTTATCGCCCTGATCTCACTCCTACTGTACAGCGCCTTTAGGAGGGAGTTCCGCGGAACAGCAGATGAACAAGAGACTGCGAATTGGAGTGACGTTCTTCTGCTTTCCCTGGGAGCTGTTTGCCAGCAAGGTGCCTACAAGTGTCATGCTTACTCTTCCAGGAGCAATGCTGATCCCATGCTAACACAGTATCACTTTTCCTGTCTCAGGTTCAACACTGGAGGCGCGAGGCGTCGCAGGACGTACCATTTCCATCATGCTGTATGTTGCCGTGATATTCCTCTATACATCCTACTCTGCCTGCATTGTTGCTCTGCTCCAGTCCACTACAAACTCTATTCGGACTCTTGAAGACCTATACCACAGCGGAATCGCCCTGGGGGCGGTCGACATCGTCTACAGCCGTCATTTCTTTTCGGTAATGCCAGCGAAGCACACTCTGTAGTTATAAAATATAACTAATGAACTGATAAATATTTCAAATGGAGTCAAGTTCTGCCAATAAGGATAGCAAGGCGACTTCCAGAAGACCGCTATGCTCAACATGTATCTGGCATGAGTATGACACTCTACGATCCATGAGAGCTAAATCCGTCCCGCGGAACCACTGTGAAAATTGGAACATGCTTATTTTTTATTTATAGAAAGTTTGTTTTTTAATTTTTTCAAGCAACATAGTTTCGTACTTTATACCAGGAATGCAGGTATTTTATTTTAAATGGTTTTTGCAGAAGTAAACATTTATTCCATAGCTTTCATTCAAAAGTTTTCCTGAAATCCGACCCAGCGAAACACTTGGAACACCTACTCGATTCCTGCAGCTTTAAAGTGTGCCCACCCCTGATGTAACATAACATCATAACTCAGTTTGCAATGGGCACGTGGTGCTACAAGCCTGAAGGCCGCGAGTTCATTTCCCGATGAGGTCGTTGGATTTTTCAATTGGCCTGATCCTTCCAGCCGCACTATGGTCTTCGGGTCGACTGAGCCTCTAACAGAAATGAGTACCAGAAATCTTCCTGGGGATAAAGGGCGACCGGCGCGTAAGGTTCACAACCTCACCGCGCCATATTTTAGACGCTTGTCTAGAAAATGTGGGAGCCTCGACGTCTCACAACCGTATGGGCCTCCATGGCCTGTTATAGGGACAGCTTTACCTTAGTTTGCAGTAAACATAAAGGGCCATCGACATTTACGCCCTGTATTACTTCTTAATTTGTAACACAATAAAGCCTTTTCCAGACAGCCTCCGACCCCCTGAGACGTGCTATATACACTCAGAAGGTGAGTCCCCCAGGAAGACACAGCAATTTCATGAGCCTGCAACAGGGTCTGGAGAGAGTCAGGAAAGGGCTCTTCGCTTTCCACCATGAACTGGGGCCAGGTTACAAGATAATTTCTGACACTTTCTTGGAGGAAGAGAAGTGTGGCCTGCAGACAATCACCTGCTTCGTGAATTTCGTTGATCCCTGGATATCGGTCAGCAAGCACACTCCCTACAGAGAGGTGCTGTCCCTCGCGTAAGTTCTGCTCTGTCTGTGTGTTTCTGACTCAATATTATGTTCCGTTTATTCCAACTGTACAGTTCAGATATACGATAAAAAACCGGCTGAAGTCAAATGTGCGTGAGTTATAGCAAACTACTCACATTCCCTGCAGCTACCGCACCATTCACGAGCGAGGGCTGCAGATGCGGGAGAACTTGCGTTACTACCAAAAGAAGCCGGAGTGTAGCGGACTGGGTTCCAGCTTCGTCAGTGTGGGCATAGTGGACTGCTACCCCGCGCTATTGGTACTACTGTACGGCTTGCTGATCTCAATAGTCATGCTACTGCTCGAGGTTCAGGCGCACAAAAGGTTCGAATTTTTAAAGTGCAAATATCATTCACTGTTGGGTGTCTATTTATAACATTCTACAATTGAAATTTAAAAATTGCAACGATTTATCAGTTATATCGATAAATGACTTTATTTTCATAAGAAAGCTGCCTCAATAAGGGTCCGGGAGAGCGCAGTCGGTACAGCGACTGGCTAGGGCTGGACAGCCGAGGGGTCGGATTTCGAATTCCGGTAGGATCAAGAATTTTCTCTTCTCCACGTCGCCCAGACCTTCTCTGGGACCCACCCAGCCTCCTATCCAATGGGTACCGGGGGCCCTTCCCTGGGGGTAAAGCGGCCGGGGAGTGAAGCTAGCCACTCAAGTCCAACTAGTGCTGGGGTCAAGAAAACGTGAACCTATATACCCACCTACCCCCCACCTCCCATACGTCTTCATAGCGTAGAGCTTAATTAGAAAAGCACAGGGACAACTTTACATTCTTACAGTATCAATAAAACCTGCATACGCTTGAAAAATCATGTAACATGCGAGGAGCTATACTGAATGCTACTAGTGATGCTCGCTCTCACCTCACAAGTCTTCACGTTTACTATGTCATAATCTTATACAAAGTGTTACAGCTTTGCTCTTAAACTCTTTGACGTAACTCATGTAGTACTTATGACAGAAATTTTCTGTTTTCTCAAATGTTCTATTTTTTTGTACAAATTAACTTGTAGCTGGCACAGGAGAAATTAGAAATAAGACGACTGGGGAAATGGTCAAGAAGTACCAACATGGTCTCGGCATTGTGCTTCAAACCCACAGATCAGCACAAGTACAATATTCTGCACCAGTTCACATCCTCATAACCTATGTCCACATTACCTTCCCTGACAGAGGTCTCCCCATCATACTAGATAGCCTATTGCAGCCTCATACAAGTACATCTTGTTATTCTAACAATACTAGTGACCTGTCTAAATCCTGAAATTCACTGTTAAGTCATCTGTTCTAAATTCAAACATTTTTCTCAGCATTGTTTTCATACATTTTTAAATTTATTTTTTCCTTCATACAAGACAATGCATTTCACAACCACAAATAAAATCTAATCAAATTATACCCTCTACACCTTACTACACACAGTACTATTTCTTGCAGGTTTCGGCATAATTCTAGACCACAAACCGAAAATTCAAGGCAAGAAGAGAGATTTAAAAAAACATACAAAATGTTACTTCTGAATGACATTTAAGTTGGTCCTTCATGGCATAATGAGATTCCAGATGGAGGCTTCATATTGCAGCTTCTCTCTGTAACGTGTGTTGCAAGTGACACTTCAGTGTAACAGGATGCAGAAATATAATACTTAGTACTGTAAATTCTTTTGGGAAATGCATTTACCCACAGGCAGCTTATGTGTTTATACTTTGTTGGGACTTTGCAGTAAAAGGGATAAGGGCCTTGAAATGGGGAAAAAGCTCAAGATGATTGCAATCAAGATGTTATGGAAAGCTTGTGAACATTTTCACATGTACAAAGAATCACCAATGTTCAAGTATAGCTGCACACTCTGTATTTCATTTCTAGAATATATTTCCACACACACAACATTAATCTGTATTGATAACACTTCAGAATACTTTACATCTTGCATAATTTATTACAAACTTTTCAGTAATAACATTCTCCAGCAAAAATATATTGTTACACCTAAAGGGGCCCGGGTAATGAATGTTAACCATCACAGGATTATGGACGTTCTCCACTATGTTTTCTTATATGATATGTAAGAGTACGCCTCCGACTAAATGATTTATTGCACAATACACAAGAATATGGACGCTCTCCAGAATGTATACGTTGATGAGTTTTCAAAGTACTCTTAACACTAAATGATTTTTTGCATACGTCACAGGCGTATGGTCTCTGTCCACTATGAATACGTTGATGCGTCCTCAGGTGGCTCTTATCACTAAATGATTTACCACATGCATCACAGGAATGAGGACGCTCTCCACTATGTATACGTTGATGAGTCTTTAGAGTACTCAGAACACTGAAAGACTTATTACACACTTCACACACATATGGACGCTCACCACTATGTATGCGTTGGTGTGTCTTCAGACTGCCTTGTTCACTAAACGACTTACTACATATATCACATGAATATGGACGCTCTCCACTATGTATCCTCTGATGCTTCTTCAAACTACCGTTTTCACTGAATGTCTTACAACATATACCACAGATAAAAGGCCGTTCTCCAGTATGAATGCGGTAATGTTTGTCCAAAGTACATTGAACTCTAAATGATTTTTGACATACATCACAAGAATATGGGCGCTCTCCACTATGAATGCGTGCATGTATCCTCAAATGACTCTGATCACTGAATGCTTTATTACAAACATCACAGGAATATGGACGCCTTCCGGTATGTATGCGTTGATGTTTGCTAAGTTTTCTCTGTTCATTAAATGATTTATGACACACATTGCAAAAGTATGGACGCTCCTCACAATGCATGGGTTGAAGTTCATTCTGTGTATTCTGCCAATGACAAAGACACATTAGGATCATTACAATGAGAAGTGCAATGAGATTAAAATGAAGACCTAAATAAAATAAATAATTATTTTAATACAGAATTATAAATGGCTTCAGGTCCCATTACAGGACTTCAAATGCATTACAACATAAATTTAGCGGGCTATGTACCAGCACTAAAGCAGAAAAGAGAGTACAGACCACAGAGATTGTTCTTGTTGAACAAGTATCATGATAACCACATGATTATTTGAATATTAAAAGTATGTAATAAATAGATTTTGTTGTTGTCACAGCTGCTAATTATATCAAGCGAAGAAAAGACCTTAAACATACACACATGAGAATTAGTTTGAATACCTGTCCATATGCACAATATAAAAAGGACTTGACAAAAAATGAGAAACTTGTCAAGCTAATTTGCAGAATATGAGCCTGTGGGCTATATTACAACAGTAATTGTCATGTGTTAGGCATCTGTACACTCAAAACAGAAGGAAATATCACACACATACAAAGACAAACATACGAGTACACACACAAAGCATAACATAAATTTCACCCACCTGTCACTTTTTTCCTAGGTCTGGTTTTGAACACAACCTCCTTGCAAGCTATTCTTTTACATAAACTGTCATGTTGGTGTCTATATCTAAAAACACCAATCACTCAAAATTAGTAGAATTTTCCATAGTGCTGTCCCATATCTTTAGAACCTTGGATCTGTATAAGGAATTCAATTCTAGGTGCAGAACCAAAACCAATATTATTGGAAAATATGGAAAAATAAGTTATGATGGGTATTTGAAACTATACCCTTACCAGAAACATCTTTCTACTTATGCAGTATTTAAATTCAGATACCTTAAAAATGGCTCAACAAAATGATTCCACAAGAATGTGCCAAAAAAAAAAGTGGCATCCAGAAAGGGCTCTTCAAATCCATCCTTCACCAGAATATAGTAGTTTCACCTATACATGCAGACAGATGTCAGAAAGACTGCAGTTAGGGATATTTGTGAAATGTGCCAAACAATGGACACCCAAACCTCCTACAACTCACCTCTGGTAATGTTATTAACAAAGGATCCTCCTCTTGAATAGCTGTGGCCTCCTCAACTTTTATACTAATGACCTCATTTCCATCGTGTGATGTTACGTATGTCTCATTACATGAATCAAGCTCAACTTTAAGGAAATCTGTGAACACCTGTAAAACCATTATGCCAAAAACTCATCACTGAGGAGTGTCATTACATCAGATGTGATACACTTTATGACAACCACTTTAAACTGCATCCAATCGATAACAGTTTTTTCACCTATCAACTTATGAAGAAAACATTGTGAAAATACATAGGGAGATTCAAAGTCCTCTGGCCAAGATTTAGAAGGTTGATTTGGAGCAGAAAATATAAACAAACTGTAGTCCATTTCACCATTGCTTCACAGTTGAAAAGTTCTGAACTTTTTCAGTCTTGAATTTTTGTATTATTACTTACTGGGGCCTTAGGCCGCGCCATAACTCAAGTGGTTAGTCGCTGGCTTCCCACCGCGGCGGCCATGGTTCGATCCCGGGTCTGGTCAAGTGGGATTTGTGGTGGACAAAGTGGCACTGGGGCAGGTTTTCTCCAAGTACTTTGGTTTCCCCTGCCAATCTTCATTTCACCAATTGCTCCACAATCATCCTCACCTCTCATCTGGGGCTGGTACAATAGGCCAGAAGCGGCCACAGTACAAGGGACTTAGTCCCACCCCACTAGCAATAAAAAAATAATAATACTGGGGCCTTCACAATGTCACATGATGAAGCTCAAACTGGAGACACAGTAACAATAAAAGTGAAATGAAAGGTATGCCAATATCCATTTCATGTACGTCTATTGTTTTTGATGGATATACCAGAATGCACTGAGGGCTGCAGCACTTGTTGCACACATCTAAGAGTGCAGTCTGGCATACACTGCATGGGCAGCAGCTCTGCTTCTCTCATATGTACAAGTTGTACAAGGGCTGCTTCAGTTCTGCCAATGACTTCTACATAAAGGGGTAGATGAACCTGACTTTTTATATACTGATGAGACAACATCCACAAGGGGTGGAAAAGCAATCTCCATGACATAGGGCATTGGAGAATCCTCAAGCTACTGAACATGCCAAGATTCTGACAAAATTCTGATGGATTCCAGTATACAGATTTCCCTTAAAGAATTCCCCCCTCCTTCTACTCCTGTTATACTGTATGCCTGACATCAACCACACAGAAAACACCGCTCCGAACAGTTCTTCTATTACTGCATGTGTATCTGTTGCTGCAGACATGTGTTTATCATGCCATTAACTAGCAATGGCCACATCTATGCATTCCACTATTCCAGCTTCACAGCTATAAGTCACAACATTAATAAAATTGCTGCATATAGACCACCAAAGATCTTAAAGCAATAACAAATATAGTATGGTCCAAGCTCAAGATAAAATGTCAGTTATATAAATTTGTCAAACCCTATTCCAAGGAAATGGACCACTAGGAAGACCCAGACATAGGTGGGAGGATAATATTAAGACACATCTTAGAGAGAGAGGATTGGGTGGATTCATCTGGCTCATGATAGGGACCAGTAGAGGGAGGGCTCCTGTGAACATGAAAATTAACCTTCGGGTTACGTAAAATGTTTATAAATTCTCCAGTAGCTGTGCAACTGGTACCTTCTCAAGAAGCCTTTTTTGTGGAGAAAAACAATGAAAAACCGAAGGATAGACAGTTTTTCAGCTCAGATTTGAATTAAGTACCTTTCAAATGCAAGCCTGGAGTGTTACTGCTACATCAACTGGCTTGGTGTTACCTGAATATAAATAATACTCCCTTTATAAAATAACTTATTCACAATTATTAATATTTTCAATCTGCCATATATTCTAATGCTGGTCTTTATTTAGTCCTATATGTGTCATGATTTACTGGCTTTTAGAAGAGTTCATCTGTTATGCTACATATGAAATAATAAAACATGCCACTGAATACATACAAATCCTACAGATGACTCTGGTTGGGAAACTTTGGCACAGTGTAGGCTGGTAGCCCATTTGCGCGCCATTTTTAAGGGATACACTAAAACACCGGCTTGGAAAATGATAGGGGATAGCCTGCTACCCATGCTACCTGAGTAGGGACTGCTGTATATGACAGTGTGATTTACTGGATATTATTAATATAACAGGTATATGCTGGATAGAATAATATCAATGCTTATGTAATAAGTAACATTTTATTAAATCCAACTGTAATAGTGAAGGATAATTATGAAATGTAACAGCACAGGTTTGTCACATACTGTAACTTGACTTTCACCGATGTTATCCGCCAGAAGACAAACAAGACTTGTTTTGAACTGAGGAAAGCAAATAAGAACAGTCATGTTGCTTCACAGAGCCACTGGAAAACATCAGTTAAAGTCTGAGAAAACAAGCCAAGGTCCAGGAAGACCCACCAAATGAAATAAGAATAGAATGGTCTAGAAACTTCCTATCTGATGAAATCTGTACCTTCCAAGGAAGCTTTCACAAAGTCCCCACCCCACGGACAGGGCTATAAGAACCCTGACCTAAACCGTCCAAAACGCTCTCTAATCTGATTACGAAGTTTAGTCTATAGGACGGTACTCTTGTCAGTTAGGAGTCGGCCACTGCTAAAGCCTTAAGCAGACATCCTGTTGTTACAGTTGTACATATTTACTGTGTAATAAACTCTCTTGAATTAAGCACCTTCCAGCAGCTTAGCTCCGCCAATACGACGGACGTTTGCCGCTCGACCGACTCTGTCAAACCAACTCACGAGTATCTGCTCTGTCGCCCGACAGTGTGGCATACATAGTTGGAAAGTTAGAAGCAGGAAAAAAAGACCAGATTTTGGCAAATACTCCTTTGTAAATAGACCATAAAAGATTGGAACAGTTTACCTGCAGGCATACTAGCATCTTTCCCCTGTAAATTAAACGCTTTCAGAAAGAGGGTTAGGGAAGCAGTCACAATAGGCCTTAGCGGAGTCTGAATGGAAACAAGATAAGTAACATGAAGTGTCCTTGTTCGGGTGCAGTGAAATGAACACAATCATGTGCCCTTGTGTGACTATATGTTTGGATTTGCACTGTGTGTACCTTCTTTATTGTATGTATTTTGTTTTGTATTGTTCCCTTTATGTCTAGTCTTTCCTTGTCTGCATCAGTGTAAGTTCTACTGCCACTGGGTGAACACCCAATTGCAGAAAAAAAACAGCAGCAGCAGCAACAACAACAATAATAATAATACACTATCCAGTTTACATGATGTTATTTTGTCCTGCTACAACAGGAGTGGACCACCAAAGGAGCACAGCAGAGCTAATTAATAAGGCTATAGTAATTTTGCTTGTATAGTGAACCATATTTAACCCTACAGCATGGTTCCGTGTATGCTGTAAAAAAAAAAAAAAAAAGGTAAAGCTACCCCTGTAACAGGCCATGGAGACCCATAGGGTTGTGAGACGTTGAGGCTCCCATACTTCCTAGACAATTGGCTCACAGATGGCAGCAAGGTTGTCAGCCTTATGCAGCAGCAGCCCTTTACCCCCGCAGAAAGATTTCTGGTAATCATTTCCGTCAAAGGCTGAGTCAACCCCAGGGCCATAGTGCGGCTGGAAGGATTAGGTCAATTGAAAGATCAAATGATCTCACTGGGAACTGAACCTGCAACCTGCTGGCTTGTAGCATAATGTCTCGATGAACTACGCTACCATGTGCCCCCAAGTATGCTGTATGTCTGGTATTTATACACCCTACTTGTGTTATACTGCAGCTTAATTTCTCTGCATTCTAGCTATGAAGAAATAAATTAACTCTTTTATGTATCAATGACCTTACTTATGCAGCTGATATCAGTCATCTCAGCCAGGCCTGCCTTCAACTAGATGTGTGCATACAAGAGTTCAAAATTAGTACATTTTTAAATGAAGTTTTGGATGATGATACTAGGTAGGGTGAACACTGGCAGGCGTCAAGACATGTAACAGTCAAGACATGATGTCTGTGACATGACACAAAGAAAGGAGCACAGTTGAAACAAATGAGACTATGAAAACCGCTGCACATCTGTCTGAGTCATGATGCTGACGAATCATGCATGAAGCAAGACTGTGTCTTTTGTCCCATGTCTTGATGCTTGTCTTGACACAGTTGGTGTGCGGCCACCCTTATATGACAATGTAGTGTGGTTGATGGTAACAAATATGATGACTCCTGGATGATGTAAATGATGGTGATCGACAAAGAACCCTGACACATGATGAACAAGGAAGGGGTGGGTGGCACGATATCAGCATGCTATCTGCAGAATGGGGAAAATTTTGTGATATCAACAACCCACAATTTAATTTATCTAAGTTTGATGTTGTGGACATATTTTAAAACATTCTTAATGCAGCTACTATGCAGCTAATACCCAGTTGTGAATCTAGCATAGGCTGTTTAGTATTTCCTTACTTATACTGGGCATGCACATCTCAATCATGGCCAGACCCCCCCCTGCAATAAAGGATAACAACTGAAGATGACAGTCTATATGATTTTGACATGCCACAAAGATGAAATGCCCTCCAAAATAAAGGACATACAGAAGAGACAAAACCTGCAGTTCTACATGACTAAAATCAACACAGGAGCAATTCATCTCAAAAATCAAATGCTACAGCCTTACTTGCTTGAGTGAAGTTCTATGTGGTAAATGAAATTATTTAAAAGGTCATCCAATGTAGTTATTTATAATTCCATGACAAACAATAAGGGAACAAACTTGAAATTCAGGCTCCTTCTTACACAAGGTCTCACAGAGAAACAGAAATTGTCCCTCAACCTGTACATGGCCATCGATCAACTGAACTGCCTCCAAACAGACTGACTGAACATGATTTTCCAAAGAAAATTCGCTGCAAGAAAGAAGGCTAAACCACAAAGGAGATACAATATGTCACATATTTAAAACAAAGAAAACAAAGAGAAACAATTTACTAGTGTGGTGAATTTGACTGCATCTGGATGGGCATTTCAAGAGACATCATACAGATCTCCACTTTTAATATGGTTGCTTTCTTCATGCATACCCAGTTTGTTCCGTTAATACGGTAAGCTGTTAAAATCATTAATTTGTTCAGCTCTGTGTGAAAAATATATCAACATA